AATGAAGGGTTTCTCTAAAGAAAACTTGACAAAGGTAGATCGATAACATGAAAGCAGCAGAAATGTTCACATAAGAAAAGGATGTTTTTTTTTTCCTGAGGAATGAAATTGTTCAGAAACAGAGAAACAGCTTATCTTCCTTGCAACGTGACAGCAATACTTCTGCACAAGCAGTTTCCATTATTTGTCTTAACGGCTTCACAAAAAAAGTGCTATAGATTTGTTTCCAAACAAAGCAGCTCATACATTTGTATTGTTCCGTTGTAAAACATTTTAGCTGCAAAACTGTCCAAAGAGCCAGACAACATATACTATACACATTTCAAGCAACAGAATTTAAAAATGGTAAATAAATAATGGAGGAAAATGTCTTGAGTAACAGTTTATCATCTATCCAGCAGCTGGCAATGATTCTGACACTGAACTTACAATTGCCCAATTTTTACATCTAGGAAAAATAAACTCATCCAAGACTGCTATGTAAAACGTGAGACATGCGTGATCTTAATTTTCTTAAATTTACTGCAATTGTGTGCTCTGAATAACAAAAATATATTCTATGTGACTCACAAAAATATTGCAGTCTGCATACAAAGAATAGTCATGGGTAAACCTAAAATGATTTTAGAGCAATAAAAACAGATGTGCATGCATACACTTTTAAAAGACTTATAAAGCCAAGACCAAGAGAGCACATGAGGAAATATCAAAAGCATGGAAATTGCCATCACTATTGTACAATCAGTATCCTAAATACCTTTTTTTTAAACTTTTTTTTAGAGTGGTAACATGAATGTCTCCTGAATCTGTGCTACTCACCTGGCTGGAGGGCGTAATTAAAGAAGCAGCACCCAGCCATTGCCAATGACACAGGAGCCGTTGTCAATCATTCAAAGCAGGGCAGGGCCATTTCAACCTAATTGCAGCTGCTTTGCATCCCATGGTTGGCGCTGTTTGCCCAAGACAGGAAGTGCTGCAAGGCAGAAGATGCTTTACAGGGTTATTCACAAAAGGGTGAAGAGTTTGGAGAAGTGAACAATCTAGGACAGGGGCGCCCACTATTTTTCGTCTGGAGATCTAATTTTCAAATGACGAGCTCATTGAGATCTACCAACGAAAAAACACCTGCATTCAGGGGCGGGAGGGGGCGTGGCGGTGCATTGAAGTCAATGGCAGCGCAGCCAGGCTCCGCAGGCAGGCCCCTCGCCCAAAGTGCGATCGCCTGCATTAGTGCCTGTGTTCCAGTCCAGTGTGATCCGCAAAAATGCTGCGAGCACTATTTTTGCACATCGCACTGGACCGGAATGCAGGCCTGCGCTCCAAGTGCGGGCGATCACAATGTGGGCGATGCCATTGACTTCAATACAGCTCCACACCCCCTCCCGCACCTGAACGCAGGGAGTCGGCCGGCTTACATTCCAGTGCGCCCTACATGTCCCGGCGTCCTGTCCTCCCGTGGTGCTCGTGTGGCCGACGTTGCACATGGGGTGTCCTGCACCTTTCCATCTGCAGCGTCTGACACATTCAGCCGGCAGCCGCACGAGCACCACAGAAGCATAGCGGTAGCCAGCTCCTTTTGCGCCTGAGGCAAGAAAAAAAACAACGTTTTTAAAATTTATTTTTTACTATTTACTTTTTTACGGACGAGCAGTGAGGGGAGAGAGAGGCGCCGGCCGAGCGTCTCTCTCTCTCTCCTCACCGCTCTGCATTAGTTCTGTGACAGCGGCTCCGTCCTCCCCTGCCGCCGGTTCCTTCACTTCTTCTCGGATCCCCGCTAGGGAGAGCAGCGGGGATCCAGAGAAGCGGGGGGGGGGGGGGGCAAGGGGATCGTCCAGTCCCCGCTAGGGAGAGCAGCGGGGATCCAGAGAAGCGGCGGGAGGAGAGGACATGGCGATCTACCAGTGATCGCTACGTGATCGACTGGTAGATCGCGATCGACCTTGTGGGCACCCCTGATCTAGGACAACATAGCTGATTTGGAAAAATTCTCAAATTCAGCTCACTTTCCAGCTCAGCTATGTTGTCCTAGATTGTTCATTTCTCCTTACTTCTCCAAAACTCTTCACCCTTGTGAATAGCCCTGTTAGTCTTTCACACAGACAATCAGAAAATTATTTGACTGACTGAGGAGGCAAATAACAGCTTTTGTCTCTTCAGGTTTACATACATTTTAAGCAAATACCAACTTGTATTTGCTACCTGACAGAAGTATCCTCATCCTTTATTAATTTATATTTAGCCTGTATGTGGGAGACAACTTTAAATGGAAAATGCAGTTAACTGAAAATTCTTATTTTATCCTTGTTGTGACCTAAATCCTAATAATACAATCTATATATAAAATATATAAATATACAGTGGAAAGCAAGTCACAGGAACTTGATGCACATATAATATAGTATTTCCTTTTTCAGTACAAAGTACAAATATTGTCATATAATTCAAACATTGAGGTTTTAAAATGCGCCTGTTGTTTATTAGGAGAAGAGGTAAAAGAAGCAAGGCGAGAAGATAGACACTGTCCACTAATTGTGGAGATTTAGTCAGCTTTTAAAGTGCAAAGTTTAGGGTGAACCAGTCATAGAAAACATTTAACAGTAATTCGGGGTCCTAAGAGATCTCAGCCAAAGGTGCCTGCATATAGCTTTATTTCCATGCAAAGTATCTCCTGGGTGCCCAGAATCCTGAACCCAATAGCACAAAGCTTTTAACTGGAGCTTCCAAATAGAGTTTGGACATGCAGCAGCAGAATCCCAAAATGCAACAGATACACTTTAGCAGCCAGCACCATACGAGTTCCACTGAAGATGCCAGCAGAAGTAAAAGTAAACATTTTGAGAGTGTCTGGTTTGAGAATCATACGTAGAGGAGATAGTCACCCACACACCAAGGTCCAATGCATTAATTAGTTCTTTTATTGACGGCAGATACACATGGCATCATAAGTATGAGCAACGTTTCGGAAGTGAGGTCCCTTCATCAGGCAAATAACATAGTGACACAGTGCTTGTCGCTATGTTATTTGCCTGATGAAGGGACCTTGCTTGGTTCCGAAACGGTGTTTATACTTGTGATGCCATGTGTATCTGCTGTCAATAAAAGGACGTATTGATGCACTGAACCTTGGTGTTGCCGGTGACTATCTCCTCTACGTTTGAATTTCTGCGGCGCCAACCGCACGTCTTTCCAGCACCCTTCTACATACTACAGTGGGATTCCAGTCTGGTGTGCAATAGGATATGCGTTTATTGTGGTTTGAGAATCATGTTGCATAAAGGAGGTGTGCTTTTCATCATTTGGTACCTTTTAAGGAGCTGTATTTTACTACTTCTGCTTAACAGAACTACAGATTCTAATGACAGATTTTGTTGAGTTGATTGATTGTTTTATAATGAAGACTCAATCTATTTAGCAGGATAGCCTACCTGACTGGAAACTCTCCCATGTCTGCCCAGCATAAAAGAAAAACTGTGCTCAGAAAACAATGTACACAGCAGAAGTTACTTCAATTAAAATAGAACCGAGTCTGGAAGGCCCTCCACACGGAACCCAGTGCAGAAGGACACTTGCAGGTTAGCCCTCCAACGCCCAGTCCAGCAGGGCGCAAGGGTGATACATTACAAAATCCAGGCTAAAGACACCACGGGCCAGATAGCTGCAAATCAGAGGGAAACCTTCAGCCGCAGTGTAGAGAAGAATATTGATTGAGAAAAAAAAAAAAAACTGAAGAAAAAAAACTGAAATGGCTAGCAAAATCACAGGTTCGTCTTTAAGGCCCGGTTCACACCTGGGCGTTTTGTAGCGTGTTCAAACGCTCTGCAAAACGCTCAAACACCGAAATCCCATTATTTCCTATGGGTATGGTTCACACCTGGGAGTATTACAGGCCGTATGAACGCGCTACAAAACGTCCTACGCCCAAAGAAGTACAGGAGCTTCTTTGGGGCGTTTTTGTCGCGCGTTTCCATTGGGATACAGCCAAGTATCCCTCAGAAATGCACGTTTGTCGCACTTTTTTACTGCGAATCGCGGTAAAAGCGCGCATCACGAAACGCGCATATTCGATACGCTTAGGAGTGAACCCAGGCTAAGACAGCCCAGCTGAAGGAAAGACGTCTATCCTGCTAGGACTCTAGCAAAGAACTGAGACATGCTGCTATTAGGAAGGCTTATACCCTGGCCTGGCTTACTGATGTGTCTAAAAGCACACAATACTTCACCCTAGCCCACCCAAAAACTGCCAGTGTCACATCAATCTCCCGGCCCAATCAGCTGCAGCTGGGGCACTCCTTCCCACTTTGCTACATGTAGCTGCAGGGCGGGGAATGCTCCACTGCAGTTGATTGGCTCGGGAGGTTGATGTGCCACTGACAGTTTTGCAAGGGTTTGAGGGAACCCAAGCACCAAGCCAACACACATTTCTAGTTATCACTGCCTATGAAGCAGCTGGAGCCATACTGTTTAACTGTTAAACACTTTTTGTGATCTACACTGAGATGTTTGCTAAGAGACCAATCACAGAAATATTGGTGCACCTATAATTATAATTAAAAGCAGACTCGGAAACCATTTTAAAATAGCACTAAGAAAACAGAGAAGGTTAAACCAAGGACAAATACTTGTAAAGATATGACTGACTTTCATTCTCTTTCAGACACTTTCCAGCTTAGACTGTGTCAAAGTAGAAGTCATTTTCTTCTGACACCTACCCATTTATCTATTAGCTCTGTGGCTTGAGCTGAGTTGACAGGTGTCATTATAACCATCATTACACTGTGTTCTTCAGAAATGACAGGATTTGAGAGAAAGGCTGGTCCACATAATATTGAGCGGCAGATCAGGATATGCATCAGCTGTCTTCCCACATCGAGACAGATTATGTACCTCTAACCATGAGACGCATTATTTAAAACAGAGCTACTGAAGCTTTAAAAGACTAAAAGTCAGAAACAAAGATGCCGTATTTATCTATGCAAATGAGCACAGCAGCGTTTAATCACCTGAACTGTCTGGTAGTCCGATGGATTAAAACCTTTGACAGTCACTTCCCGGAAAACTTTTGGCTCTTCTGTGCCTTTGGTCAGGTCATAGTGATAAATTATACCTAAAACAAGAGTTAAGGAACATCAGCTTGGTACACACAGATCACAGGAAGAACAATGGATCTGAAAGCACTATAAAATGTAATGAATGACAAAAGCTGCAGAACGCTAATAAACGGCCTTGGGTACATTTATACATTGAATAATTTATAAGCACTTATTCACAGGAAAATGAATCCTGTTATAAATGTGGCTCAATTATTCCTTATACGCAGTTTAAAATGAAGCCAGTTACTAACAAATGTAAATGTTTTTAATGTAAACCAATAATTAAAATCTAACAGACTTCACAAGTGTCTCCACCTAAAGAATTTTAATATCTAATGATAAAATATTTTTCCGACAGGCTGTTGACAAATTCATACATACTTTTTTTTAAATACATATAAACTACAGAAATAAAAACAAACTGCTAGACACCTGAAGTAATAGATGATTTAATTAGAGACTATACAATACTACATGAGCTACCGTAAGATTACTTCCCATTCCAAAGGATGTTGGCAGTCTCCTTCCTGTATCTCCTCTGACAGTTGAGAAGTCAAAGCATCAGCGTTTTATTGTCAACGCTTCAATGTACCTCAGTTCATCTTTCTCAAGAGGAAGATATTGAGAAAGATGGACTGAGCTACATTGATATTTCAACAACAATAAAACATTGATGCTTTAACATCTCTCCGCCGCAATACCCATGTGTGTCCCTTTTTTGGATTTATATGGTTTTTTAACTGGATGAGCATTTACCTAACAAATAGAGTGTGGTGGCTACCTCTGGAACAAACTAATTAACTATATATAAACAGACCCATGATATTTCCCTTTTGAAATAAAAAAAAGAAAAAGAAAAAAGAGATTGACACTGAGTCCTCAGTCTCCTTTTCTGTAGCCCCAGCACTCAATGAACAGGAAGCACACAGTACAGAGGTTTCTTGTTCATTCATACATGAATGGACAAAAAGTGATATGAAGCACTTCCTGTTCATTCGTAATTGGGGACACAGTATCTGAATACTATATCCTCAGTTATTTACTGGGAGCAGCGGTGGTCGGAGGGGACTGAGCCCAGATCAGCTAATCGAAAATGAGAATCGTTGACAACGATTTTCAATATTGATTATTGACAAAATCTATTAGTTGCTTCAGCCCTAGAAAATGTGTAAGTCGAGGTACTGTTTTCCAGGACATCAACTCAATTCCCATTGTTGTAATTCATTCTGGACGAGATGCTGTTTCCAATTTCTCCTCATTCAGTGTCCTCCACTGCATCCTATCTCCCCTTCTGCCAGCTATTCTGAAGAGATAGTCTTGCTTTTGTGACCTGATACCAGAAGGGAATTTGTTGCCTGTTGATGCTCTGATCAAGCCGTAAATTTGAAACGTGACACAATGTCTAACCCCTCCCCATACAAAGTTTAAAAAGCTAAATTTGGGCTAGAAGACTCTTTCAAAAATAATTATAGACCTCCCACCATGACCTGAAGCCACTGCCATATTTCTTACCTATTACATGTATTTTCCCCAAAAACTCTTAAAGGAAACCTGTAGGCAAACTGTATCTTATAAGGTGGCATGAGAGCTATAAAAGCAAGCACCCATAGGTGTCTGCTCGCCAGCTTAGTTCAACCACACATTTCCCGGTCTATATCTGGCTCACCTTCTCTCGCCCCTGCACTTTTCTGCTCATTGCATTTGGCATTCAGCAAGAAGGCATGAGAACAGGAGGAAACAGACCAGTTATTGGTCAGGAAGCTGTATTGTTGATATTTAGGTAATGGGGTGCTGGGATTTTGAGCCCACGCGCATTTTTTGTTCTGCAGCTTAATGTGAACTTTGTTTTTTTGATGTACAACTCTGTGTAATATGTTACTATCCAAATATAGTACTACTACTACTACTACTACTACTAACACACTTCTAGCTTTAAAACTGGTTTTCAAACTTTAAAGAAGAACTCCAGGCATGTAAAAAATAACCCATGCAGTGGAGCACCCCAGTCTAACAGTCAGATGAGACCAAGGATCGGGTGAGTCGACTTTTTTTTTGTAGACCCTAGACCAAAGCGAGCACTTAACCCTTGCAATGCATGGTTGACTGAGAAAATGCTGACTGAGAAAATGCTGACTGAGAAAATGCTGACTGAGAAAACATGGCTAAATTATACTAATATGCTTAGATGCAGTTAAATTACAACCAGGAACACATTTTGTACACATCATTTGAGCAAGAATGTTTGTAGCTTTGTGGCCACCAAAGAACAAAATGGAAAAGCATGTAGAAATCTTTAATACTGTTGCTCTTGCTAATGTAAACATCTAAGCTCCCATCTAGTATCAACGGGTGATCTTCCAGGCTGAAAGAATTTTACATCTACTGTGTCCAAATCAGGCAAAGAATTCTCTTGTATACTGTGCTAAATCTTTTGATTACTAACACAGACAACTCACAGCAGTCACCCCCCTCTGTATTCCCAAAGTTTTATTGACAATATGCCCAGTAATTGCAGAACTGTCAGCAAATATGCATCTCTAAATGGCTATTTGAATTTCTGTACAACATTGCAAGTGAAGAAAACAAGATTCAACTCTAGGAAGAATAAAAGTAATGCTGAGCAACTGAAAGGTAAATTTGAAAAAAAAAAAAGAAAAAAATAAGTGATTCAGGCTTGGGATTTTCAGGTAGACTCAAAAGATGGACATATTAGTCTAGAACTGCATTTACAGATAATTGTGCCTATATAATATTGTTGTTGTTCCTGCCTAAAGACAAACTATATAAGCAGCCATGACTTTGCTGTTATATGAAAATACAAGAAATATTATAATGAAAATGTGTTCGTTTTGTGAAGCGTACTATGTCTGTGATACTACAAATAAAAACATAAAATATCTTTTCATGCTTTCAAGAAAGTTGAAAACATATTTTTTATTTTATATTAAAAGTCTGGCCTTTCACATTTTCATCAGGTCTGAATGCTAAATGTCTCAGCAGGTAGATTTTTAAATGTTCCCCACAATCTCAGAGCATAAATACTCTTCACAGTAGAAAAATGTCAGTTGCAATCTAAAAATATACTGATTTGAGATAGACACACTGAACAGAAAATAGTCCACTGCACTGTGTAGCAAACAACTGGTACGTATCTGTGAAGTTACCCTGTGAAAGTGTATGTATACTCAAAAGTAAAAATCAGCTAAACAGTAGGGCACGGTCCTTTAAGATGCACTGCAGAAGCTGTTTTTTGTGTTTAATATAATAAATATTACCCAGTGAATCCCAGTTTTACTTGTATACATTGTACTTCCTTTTCTAAGGTGACAATGCTTACAGCCCATGTTTGTGTCAGAAGAGAACAGGAATGCAAAACCTGCTTGAAGTTGGTCAAATGAAGGTCAGAGATGTCGAGATGTCCAATGTTGTAGGGGCAACCAAAATCGCTTGAAGCTCCATGATGTTGATTGGGAGACAGAATTAATTTTAATGTCCACGTCCTCTGCACTAACACGGTGTCTAGGACCCTGTTATAATGATCTTCCAAAGTATCAGAAGTACGGATTTCCCAAACTACATAGCTGGATTCCTAAGCCATCAGATCACACATAACCTGGTCCTTGTCAGGCAATTCTGTTTTTCCAGAGACTAAAACTATTTGAAAAGTTTGAAGTTTTTGTGGTGGAAGGAAAACTAGCAGTGTCCAGGTTTAGACCCAGATATTTTAGGTGATGAGTCTGTTAAACAGAGATTTCTGAAGGTTTAGGATCCAATCTGACCTTTTCAGGGTCTGAACTATTGCTATCAAATTGTAGGTCGGGACCTGTTCTGACTCCACCCACAACAGGAGGTCATCCAGATACCCCAAAATGGGAATGCCTGGGAGTGCAACAAGGCAAGCATAGGGGCTAGATCCTTTTTGAATACACGAGATATGGAAGGCAGAACGAATGCCAGGGCCACAAACTGTAAGTCCTGAGCAAAGTGAAGGAATTGCTAAAGTTCTGGAAAAATGGGGACATGAATGTACAAATGCTTGATGTCTACGAAACCAGAAAGTGTTCCTTGATAAAGGGAGGCTATGACTACTGGAATTTTTGACTGAATTAATGATTCTAGACTTCTGCTGGGGTAGAGCAGACACAAGGGTGTCCAAGACAGTTCTGAAGAGATGTTGTACCTCCAAGGGCACAAACAGTAAATGTTTTTTACATGTCAGTTCCACAATGCAACATTTCTCTGTGTGTTCAATTATAAGAGGCCCATACAGGAAATAAGATGGGAGACATCCATGATCGCAGTAGTGCAGGGCTATTGGCATCAAGCCTAATTGCTCCAGAATTAGGGTGGAGTAGAGCTGAATCTCTTGCCATGAGTTTTGTCCATTCCTCTAATGTTTGACCAAACATCAAGGCCATAGAAGGTTGCAATGCAAGGCCTGCAAAAACAAGGCTTTACATAGTCTCTAAAAGTTTATCTATGGAATCCTTAAATACTGGTGCATCCTCTACAGTGCTTTGTTAAAGGAGAACTATGAGGTGAGTGCTTATCACTCACCTCATAGTTCTAGCCGACCTGTGACAATGAGACTATCACAGGTCGGCTCAGTAGATCGGGAGGTGAGCGAACACATACCGGCGTTCGCTCACCTCTCGATCCTGTCACGGCTCTCTGTCGTGACAGGGGAGGGGCTGGATTCCCCCCTTCCCGCTCCGGGGCAGCTGACTGGTGGATCTATGAGGACATACTTAAATAATTGTAAGAATGCATTAGGTACCTTACTGGTAACCTATCATGAGGTCAACATATGTCTAAATGGTAGTTGCTACTCAGTGAGCCCATTCATACAGGTACTTTGCCATTTATTTTATCCTCCTAAGAAAGTGATGCTGAGCCTCTGATTACTTCCTATGCAACTTTTTCACTTGCATACAGTATAATGTCACCAGATCACCACTCAGGCTCACAACTGTATGTAAAAAGAGTACGTGAGACAAAGTGGCTTTCCTGAATCAGAGATCCAGTGATGCTTATTATGAGATGCTAAAAACTTGTATCTGGTTGGATATGTTGTCTTTTTTTTACCTAGATAACCCCAATGTATTTATAAGACAGAATTTGTTGTTGATTCTCCCAGTAATATGTATTACATAAAACAAAGCCAAGAAAGTGCATGAACAGTAATAAAACAAGCAAAACATATCTGTAGTAATAATAATGAATGCATGCCCACCTGGTGATAAAAAAGATGTGAAGTGGTAAAAAATCTCAGAGTCCTTTTTCTGACCACTGTATCCTACAATGCTACCAACATCCAAAGGAAAAGTCTTAAGATGGCGGCCAGTAGCAAGATCATGCAGCTGCAAGACATTCTTCACATCGTGGAGGCAGCAGAGGACAAGGAACTTCGAATGAACACAGGCTACCCATTCTGGAATAAAGGAAAAAGAGCAGAAAATAGTCAAAATAGGAATCTACAATTTTTTTTTAAAATAGAACGGGAGGGAATTTATGAATGTGTTTGCGACAACATTTTTAGCCGCAAACACCAAAATGGCATGCTAACTGAAAAGTTTATATGTTATGCTTTTATTGTTTGTTTTTGTGACATAATGTTTGCGGACTCACTGCACATTTTGTGACATTTCCTATAATATTCCAACTGCGCCGTATTTGTGTACAGCATTTTGACAATAAAAAACCTCCAAACAGACGCACATTCTAGAAGTGTTCCTGAGCACTTCTTTAACTATTGCAAAGATAACTCATACCCTCAAGTCAGCTGAGCACCTCAGGCTATTCAGCTATCGTTCAGGAGGTTCCCAGCAAACTTGCAACAGTTTAGAGACTGTTTACAGACAGAAAAATATAGAGACAGTTTAGAGACAATTCTCCTTATTTAGGCATTTAGGAATTAAACAGAAACTAAGAGAATAAATCTATCGCTATATGCACTAGAAATATGGGATACGACAGTTTGAGAGACGCTGCTGATGCGACATTGATAAATTCTTCCCAAAGTGTTTTCATGCAACTGATTGAGAAGCAAGCAATAGTACAAAACTAATCAAGGGGGATTTTCATTTGATTGGGATTGTATCAGACCAGATGTGCCATTTTAAATTGTGAATTCCAGTATAATGCCAGGTGTAAACAGAGCATAGCCAGAAGGCAAAAAGAAAATTGTTAATTTACTGGTGTTTATATTCTGCCTTTTACTAGGAGACACAAGCTGACCTCAATTGCTAAAGCACCTACATCCACTACTATGTCTATCTGCAGCATTTCTCTACTTCCTCCATACTTCTGTCACACGTAGCAGATAATGAATAGCAACCTTTTCGCAAATCTACTGTGATGGTTTTAAAGAGCAGTTTGTTGATGTCTCTAAAAATAATAATCAGTTTACAGTTTTGCCTACCTCCCTGGCTATTGGAGAACAGGTAATATAAAGTCCAATAACTAACAACTTCAGTAATTATATGTCTGATGTGTCTGTGCTCACCCATTCATTTACGTCCACCAAGTGATAGCAAAGCAGCTCATAGAGGAAGACACTACTTCATTATGGGAAACATTTTCCCTGGTTTAGACCTGCAACCCCCCTCTGTCAATCCCTACACTGGCTTCCAATAGCCCAAAAGATAAAATTCAAAATATTAACAACCACTTACAAAGCCATCCACAACTCTGCCCCCGGCTATATCTCAAACCTGGTCTCAAAGTATCACCCTAACCGTCCCCTCCGCTCTTCAAAAGACATTCTGCTTTTCAGCTCCCACAACTCTTCCCATGCTCGCCTCCAGGACTTCACTAGAGTCTCTCCCATCCTATGGAACTCTTTACCTGTCCAACTATCTCTTCAGGGAATCTCACCTCAACCTAACCATTGAACTATCACTTTCTCAAACAATTCCATCCCCACACAGCTACCTCCTCATGTATCAATTGCCCCTTCCTTTTAGATTGTAATCCCTCACAGGCAGGGCCCTCTTTACCTTCTTGTCCTGAATTGTATTGTAATGTCTTCCTTATATTGTAAAGAGCTGCGTAAACTGTTGGCGCTATATAAATCCTGTATAATAATAATAATAATAATAATGACATGCTAAGTAAAAAAAACAAACAAATATACCCATACCTCAAAATGGGTTAAAAGGGGTTAGTTTTTCTGAATGTTCAATGACGCGCTTCACAAAGCAATACAAATTTCTACTAAATACTAAACAGTTTCGACTACTCTGATTAAAAACTATGATTTTTTTCCCCCATTCATTTTCAAATACATGTGAAGCCACATTGGTTTGTAAAGGCGCCTCTGTAATGCGTGGTTCTAACTAATAACTATCAGATTTTCCAACTGTGGGACAGACATAGCAATGCAAAAAATTAAGAGCAGGTTACCAGAAGGTGGCCCTCTCCTCCTTACAGGTAGAGCCACACACCAAAAGCCCAGCACAGCTAAAAGGCAGCTGAATACCCCCAGTATTTAGTTGCCATTGTGCTGTGTTGGGCTTCTGGTGAGTGGCTGTACTTTAAAGGAAAAGTGGACAACCTCCTGATAATTTGCTTTCAATGTATGCATTGCTATACACCAATCAGTCATAACATTATGACACTGGCAGGTGACATGAATAACTTTGATTATCTTTTTACAGTAACACCTGGAATTGGGTGGGATATATTAGGCAGCAATTGAACATTTTGTCCCTGAAGTTGATGTGTTGAAAGCAGAAAAAATGGGCAAGCATAAGGATATGAGCGACTTTGACAAGGGTCAAATTGTGATTGCTAGACTGGGTCAGAGCTCCAAAACTGACACATGAGCATCAGAACTGGATCACAGAGCAATGGAAGAAGTTGGGCTGGTCAGATGAATCATGATTTCTTTAACCTAATGTGGATGGCCGAGTGTGTGTGTTGCTTACCTGAGGAAGTGATGGCACTGGGATGCACTATGGGAAGAAGACACGCCGGCGCAGGCAGTTTGATTCTTTGGACAATTTTCTTCTGGGAAACCTTGCGTCCTTTCCTCCATGTGGATGGCGCTTTGACAAGTACTACCTACCTAAACATTGTTGCTAACCAAGTACACTACTTCATGGAAAGGTTATTACCTGATGGCAGTTGCTTCTTTCAGCGGCATAATGCGCCCTGCCATACTGCAAAAAATGGTTCAAGACTGGTTTGAGGAATGCAACATTGAATTCAAGGTGTTGACTTGGCCTCCAAATTCTCCAGATCTCAATCCAATTGAGCATCTGTGGGATGTGCTGGAAAAACAAGTCCGATCCATGGAGGCCCCATCTTGCAACTTACAGGAATGAAAGAATCTGCTACTGACAGCTTGATGCCAAACACCTCAGCATACCTTCATAGGTCTAGTAGAGTCCATGACTCAATGGGTCAGGGCTGTTTTGGTGGTAAGAGGGGACCTACCTAAGAATAGGCGGGTGGTCAGAATGTTATGGCTAATTGGTGCATATGTCCCATAGTTGGGAACTCCGATAGTTTTGAGTTAGGAACACTTTACAGAGGTGGTTTGATGAGGCACAGTGAATTTGCAAATGCATGCATGCATGCAAAAAAAAAAAAAATCTCTGATTTTACCAGTAGTGGAAACAGCTTTGATTTTGCTGGCTAGAATGAAAATGCGTTGGGGAGCTTTACAAGGCTGCCCATTTATAATAGCATTTACAAAGGTCTTAGATTGCTCATTTATGTTGTATTACAGAGAATGTAGCAGTAAACCACCCCTTTTTGCAGTAAGTGAAATAAGCCTCCATAGTGATAGACAACAAAACCATGAATGCCAGCAGGTGTATGAAGCTAGTTGGGAAATCAGACCACTAGCTTCTATCCCCTTATAAAACATTAAATTAAGTAGGGCTGAGCAAAGTGTAGCTAGAGCCAAAACATTTCTTGTAGTTTTTAATAGAGTATGAAAGTATTGGAACCCCTAATAGGTATTTATTGCTGTTTGTGTCCCAGCTTGGGAGATTTGCCCTCTCTATTTGTCCCAACAACCCTCGTCATCGGAACAGAAAAGTGATGGGAAATCCAAATTTTTTTGTTTTCACCAGAACAAGAGATCAGGGTTAATCTTCCAGTGGTGATACCTGTTCTGGTTCACTTTGGAGAGCTTTCCTCTCACGTCTTGCTGTGTCACAGACGAAAGGGACACAGATAGCATAACCTATTTACACCCAAAAAAACTTTATAAAGAAAATAAAATGCAGTTCTAGATATACTCTAGTACAGCGCTTGTTCTGTCACACTATTGAAACAGCAATACATATCACTAATAATTGAGATTTGATTTTTAGGCTATCGAAATCTGAACTAAAACTGTGATTCTAGTGACTGCACAGAGAGCTTTACCACAATCGTATCTATTTTGCTGCATATCACATATTTTAAAAAGACACCGCACATAAGTGCCACATGGGAATTCAGATGAAGCCAGATAAATGGCAATGTCCTACCAAAAATAATCAAATATATTTATCTGGGTTGGGATTCTAAAAAAGCAACAATGAAAAGCCTACAATAACATCTGTGAAAAAGTTAATACGGCGCAAAAACCAAAACGTAGATCGGTCATTGACATTAGCATCAATTCTTATCTGTGCTTACTAGCTTTTATTGCTTGCGCTCACCTTGACCTGAAGGCTGCCAGTAAAAGACAACAGCAGACAATTTCCTCTGTGGAATATACAGCCTAGAAATGTTCCTAGGACAACATGATAATCTCTTGGTTCTGTACATATTATTTATATTGGCCTAGCCACACACAACAATATGCTTATTAATGGTACAAAGTTAATCATTAGATGTAATAGTTAAGTCAATCCTAATTTGTTTAGTTATATTCAAAAGGATCACCCTCATATGGCATAGTACAATTTATCAAATAAAATACAGCCAGCAACATTTTACCCCCTATCTCACCCACAGCCACAAACATGTTCCACACATTGTGGAATGATCAAAGCATGCAGGACTAAGAGTAGACTGCCCATTGAGGTCTATGGCTTTAATGGAGAAAAAAATATTTTGCAATGACTGGTAATTGTAAAATGAACTATACCATAAAAGTTTTGATCTTGCCATAAGATCCTTTTTTAGAAGTCCAGTGAGGGACAAATGACTGTAGTAATCCTTGGATATGTGGGTCATACTGTCGCCTACAAAAAACAAAAATGTTACGCCACCTCCCATATAGCACTACCTTCAAAATGGCATACTCTAGTTTTGTGAGCAAACAATACATAAGGTCATTAACACAGAAGGGAAGGAACTGTGTCCCTCAGTGGACTTCAAGAAAAATATTTACGGCAAGTACAGACGTCCTATTTTGTCAGCCATTGGGGAATGCAGGATTGTAGTCATACTTAAATATGTGGGATGCCCAAAAGCCACTGGGCTATC